TTATTATCAGTCAATCAATTTTATTATAACTATTTAAAAATAAATGTTTGATGAAAAATAGAATGAGTAATAAGTTATTTTATTAAAGGTAATAAATATGTAAGTATATTTATCAACCAAGTGGAACAAATTTGTTGATTGCTTTATTAGAGATATTTTTACTTACCGTGAGATATGATATTCTTGATGAGATATGATACCTCTTAATCAGTGCAGCTTTTCTCGGTTATGTACACATATACATGTATAAGGATTATTGTAAGTGTCTTTAATACAATCCAGGAGTCTTTTAAATCTCTGTGGAGCAACCTCGTACAAATAAGAAACTCATAGGATATTCAACCAAATATTTACTTTCCGCGCATTGCAACAAGGTTCATATGTACCTCTCGTATTTTTCATACTTCCTTAGAAAACTGCAGAGACCTATATCACTAAATATTTTTGTTGATTTCGAGAAAGCAGTTCATACTGCAATGCAATCTGTGTTCAATAAATCAGGAACAGAAGGTTGTCGTTTTCATCTACAGGTTAAATCTGGTGTCGATAAATACAAAAAAAAAGAAAGGTCATCCTATTTTTCTATTTCTTATTCTGGATTCAAAAAGCGCGTAAAATTCAACGTTCATGGTAAGTTTTTTCGTCAAAATTAAGTTTTTCATATCCTATAGACAGATTATAAATTGAAAACAAATAATAATCACTCAAAATTCTTTTTTGCCAAAAAAAAAATTTATATTATTTAACAAGCGTATACCTGAACTGACACCACGATAGTATAATCTCATTGAATGACGAATATAGGAATTAACGTACTTACCTACATAAATACTTGACATTACCTCTAGAGTGGCTTTTTACATGATAAAATGTGATAAGACTTTATTCTGTAGAATTAGAACAAAATTTAAGGTAACTGTTGATTTTCCGTGTTCTATTTTGTTGATTTATCGCGATATTTATACATTAACTTCTCAGTTAGCAATGAAAATCAAAATCTGACAATTTACAAGCGTTTTGGTTTTAGACGTTAACAGTAACCATTGAAGTCAATATTTGATTACCCATATTATAATCTGTAAATGTCACGCAATATCTCCAACCTAAGTTTTAAATTCCTATTATTTCTAATACCTCTTCATTTCTAGTTTTCTCTATCCACGGTATCCTCATCATTCGCCTGTAACACCACATTTCGAATGCTTCTAATCTTTCCTTTTCCGCCGCGCCCACCATTTATATTTCGCATCGACAAATTATGGCCCTTACAGTACTTCTTTTGACCATTTCTATTTCTAGATACGCTATTCAGTTTGACATCGACCTAACATTTTGTCTATTTTCTGCTAACCTGTTGGAACCACAAACTTTGAATTTGTAACAAATTAGAGACAATTAGCAACAAATTGTAGTGTACTTTTAAAATAAGAAATAGAACTTTGTCGTATTAGCTATTCATATATATGAAAAGCGTTTACTTTTCTATTCGGATAAACAATTTTACTATCCAAGTTGAAGAAAATGTTTTGAAACCCATAGCACCAAAATATTTAATTTCATGATTTTTTGATGTTTTTCAACTAGCTTTAGTTCCTCACATTCATCAAGCTTTAAGCCGAGATAGTATAGGTACAACAAACGTTGTCCATCAGCATTTTATGGGTTTTGCATCGACTTTCTTCATTTATACATCAACCGATTAACCATTTGAGGCATTACACTGCAAGAATTTTTATGTCAAAAGGTCGAACGATACGGTAAACCACAAAATGTGCAAATCAAGAATCTTTAGAGACATTTTCCATTTTAATTTCGTAACTTTTAACTAATCCCTTTTTGATAAAACTCATTGTAGAGGAAAAAATATTTTCTTAAAAAACTGTTGTTATCATTGTGCAAATACTGAATAACCAGTCAAGAACTTTTGCTTTGGATTGTCAGATAAGTAATATCACTTTTGGTTTTTTGTTTTTATTGTATTAGGTATCACATTCCTTTAATTAATTTTTGTATCAACAAGTGTTTTTTTTTTTCATAAAAATTAACAAATCATTTGTTACACAACTTGGTACCTATCCGATATGGTACATTATCTTATCCAGTAAGGTAACGCCATAAAAAAGTGAATCTTAAGGTTATCACTTGAAAGACTATAAAGAAAACTCTCATATTCCCTATTCTGAATTAATCCTTTAACAATTGTATTTGTTAATAGATAAGAAAATAACCTAATGTGGAATAGAAAGTTCGAAATTGTTAGACGTGGGTTACCGACCAACATACTAGCTGTTTTTGCCTGTTGGCTGAACTTGGCGTTTTTCAAAAGACAATTTAAATGGGATTACTTGTTGCAAGCTGCATGTTGTGCAAGTATCTACACCAATTTTCAGCGACCCCTCGTATTATAATCAACCGTTTATGTTTGTGAAGTTATATAATCTGCTCCTGTGCAGATAACTTTATTATAGTTTAGGACCTAAATCTATTTCCTTGTATTTCGTATGTTGATATTTTCCAAATTTTATTCTCTTATTAGTTTCTTACTTTTATCAGAAAATGTCCAGCACTTTCAGCTCCCCCTTAGCCACTTCTCCTAATAAATTCATTTCGAAAATACTAACACAGTTCTATCGTTTATTTATTTTTTATAGTGTTTGCTGAGTGGTGTAAATTTTAAGTTAAAAGTGCAATTTTGAATCCAAAAAGAGGTTCTATTTGGGATTATTTTGTTGATATTAGCAATGCAAGTGGTAAATGCCAAATTTGTAACAAAATATTCGCGAAAAGAGCGCATAACCACTGTATCAAAGAGTAATCTAAAATCATTACACTTCCGCTTCCGTATCCGCTTTCGCAAAAATTTACTATTCACTTCTGTTTTCACTTCTGTTTTCGTTATGACACATTCGTTGCACCGCTAGAGTATATGTTATGATCTGAAGGGTCACATTCAAGTCTGAATAGAACTTCCATAATTTCTTGTTGCAATTCCTGCCACTTTGCAGACTTTTGCCGAGGCTATGCTTGCTATTAATCACATCGTGAGTTCGTTCGTTTTATTAACCGTCTCATTGAAAATCCGTTAGAAGAGAGGTAATTTTGGTTGATTGATTGTTTAAACTAAATTTCAAACAAGGTTTTGCGATTTATTTGAGACGTTGGTGGGGGTGATATTTAATGAGAAGCTCGCCCCGATTGCTCCGATACTAGCATTACCAACTAGACATTGCCATTTTGTATTTTTCATTTAAAATAAATGAATAAATTATCAAGTGCTGTCTTGATTGTAAAAATAGTTAACATTATGAATAAGTACAATTTTAGTATTCATTTCTTTCCTCAGATTCTATTATTCCGTAGGTAGAATAAAATATTTGTGACCTTTGAATATGTAATCATAAAATGCTGTAATAATATATTTCCTATTTTGATACTTATTTTATTGGCAGGTATTACTGGAAAACGTGACCTTTGTTATCATTTGTTTGTTTCGTTAAATAATCAGTTGTTTATTTAATTTCGTTAATAATCTTTACAATGCCACTGCTACAGTATCTCATACGTATAAAAACACACCTGTTAACAGAATGACGATACGAATTTATTTATTTATTAGCAATTTATATACTTATCTTTATATTTACTAATCAAAAATTAAAAATTCTTCACTACATCATAGCTAGTGATGAGCAAAATAAGACCAAGATCAAGACTATCCCAGTATTATTCGGTTTTGGTTTTAGTCTTGCTCAAAAACTTCTAGTTTTAGTCTTGGTTTTGAAAAAGCTTTTTGACAATGTTAAATGGGACACAATGTTAAATATACTTAAAAATTTAGGAATGAGTTACAGATTTAGAAGAGTGATACAAGAGTGTACTTACTGTGTATACAGAGCAATAGGCAGTTATAGAGCTAGAGCAGCAATGTAGAGAAGCAAATATTAGGAAGGGAGTCTTTTTAATCTATACATCGAAGAACTGATATACATCATAAAAAACAGTACAACTGTAGGGATAGATATAGGGGGCAAAAGATTAGTACGCTTAGATTTGCAGATGATATGGTAGTATTAGCATCTAGCAAGGAGAAATACATAGCTTTAAATAAAATGGGAGTGGTATTGAAAACAAAAACGAAAATACTGGTATGGAAGGGAAGAAAAAGTAGGGAAAGAGCGAATATAAAGATAGGAGACTAAATATTCGAAGAAGTAGTTGATTTTAAGTATCTAGGAAGTCAGATAAGTGAGGACGGAAGGAGTACTTAGTAGAGATATAAAGCAGAGGATATTGAAGGGTCGAATCGCCTTCAATAAAAATAAGTCATTTCTATGCTCACGAACGATTAATTTAGAAATTCGAAAAGGTGTATGTTTGAAGTGCGACGCTGTATAGGTGCGAAACATGGACAGTGGGCGCGGCGAAAAAAGGAAGGTTAGAAGCGTTTGGAATGTGGTTTTACAGGCGAATGATGAGGATACTATGGATAGAGAAGGTTAGAAATAAGGAGGTATTAGAAAGAATAGGAGAACAGAGGACTCTATAGAAGTCAATAAAAAATAGACGAGATAGGTTGGTAGAACACCTTCTCAGGCATGAAGGTCTAGTCAGAGAAATATTAGAGGCACAAACAGGAGTTAAGAGGAGCAGAGGTAGACTGTTCGTAGCGTGTGGACGGTAGACAGGTAGTTAAGGATAAGTATGAGGTGTTCTAGTTTTAGGGAAATGCAAAGATTAGCTCAGGATAGGACAGAGTGGAGGTGTCCAACTAGTTTTAGGACTGACGACCTTATCATGAATCTTTTGTTATTATTTATATAGAACGATTGTCGATACAGACTAAAAAGGTGCCTACCTCTGACGTGAGAGCATCTCTTACATTGCTAAAAATCATCCCCAAAATGAACTTAGCGATACTTTCTTAACATAACAATTGAACTTTGCACTTTTAGTAATATCTCTTGTTCTAGTAAATATATGCAATATAGTAAAGATCGAAGAAAATTAGATAATTTATCTGTTTAAGTTTTATTCAATAAAATATAAATATGTATTTCCAAACACAGAATATTTTTACGATAGTGAAGGGTAGTCCCCAACTGCCCTGTTGGCGATGACGTTCTTGTAAAAAGTGGCTGATAATTTTGCTGTTCTTGGACGATTTGGGTCAGTAAAATTGACAGAATAAATTCCATATCGCCAGCTAAAAATTGTATAGGAAGGGATAATGGTAGGTAAATACAGTTAAGTCGAAATGAGATGAGCAAGTTGACGATAAATTACAAGTGAGTGCAAATAGATCGTCGCATTCACTTTAACATACAAGCGACATACTCTGACAGGGACTCAGGATCAGAGACTAATGTTGTAGGATGTATGCAATGCAGGAAGAAGGATCCAATAGAAAGTTTGTCGCGTAACGTAGGTCGTAAGTATACCAATTGGATAGCAACAAATGCATTTAGAAATGCATTGTGTAAGACGTAACCCTTTAAGAATACCATGAGATAGAAGGAGATACCTGAACGTGGTCTATTTTATGTATGAATTAGACATACAGGCGCTTCCGACATCCTTGTTTGTTTCATGCACATACGTCGGTGAGTGATTACCTCGGGCGTTCTTATGCCTTATGCGTAAGTCTCGCCTTTGCTTTAAAATGAGTGCTGCATATATGTCTATACTCACTTGTAATTTATTGCAAATTTGTTCATCTTATTTAGACTTGATTATACATACGTGTATCCAGATTTCCATTCGAAATTGTCCATTAGACTCCACGCAGAATAACCTCGTACATTAACATTGTCTTCGTTGATAGCTTCCAGAAGTGCTTCAAGATATGACTGCGAAACAAAATTTAATTTTTGTACACCTAGGTACAGACAATTTGCGTCATTTTATTTACCCCATAATAAGACACCCTGACGTAATCATCTAATTCTCCGTTATCTCCATAGCCGTTTTCTGTAATATAAACGATGGGGTTATTGTATGTGTTCTTAATCCACGTCAAAAGTTTTCGGAAACCCGATGGAACAATCTAAAAGATACGGTACACTTTATATCACGTTATTTTTAATTATGGAAATAAATAAATAATTAATAAAATTGTGGTCTTACAGGCTCTCTACCGCCTGGCCAACTGGAATTAACCCACATCTCCGTTTGCATATCACTGTTAAATGAAACCATATTGTTAGTTGGTGGTGAATTCCTCGCCAATCTGGTAGTGTAATGATTCATTCCAAGAAAATCGAACGTTCCCTTAATAAATTCAATTTCATCTGATGTGAACTGAGGAAGTCTAGATTTAGAATAGCCTTGAGCAACACTTCGATTACCAATGTACTCCTTCATTACTTCTGGATAATCCCCGTTTGCTGAGAAAATAGGATTCGCGTACAAGCCTACCTAAATGATAAAGGAAACGGAATTTTACAGAGCTGGTTAGAACATGTATTATTAGGAAACCAAATAGGTTTTTCGATAGGTTTTTCGACATTAACCTATTAATGTTGGCTTACGCAAATGAAAAGCCTTTAATGGTTCCGATAATTATTATTATAATGTGATGTAGGGAGAATAAATATAAAACTTCCAGTAGAAATGTTAAGTGGTATTAGAAGATACACATAAGTATGCAATGTCTTCCCCGGAGAATAAGCAGCAACAATAAAAAGTTAATGACTTGCAGAGTATGTACCTAATATATGTTATCTTTTTGCCTGAAGTCTGTATGCGAGTTTAGGTTGGATAAAGAAGGTGAAATCGCTTCCGACTTTTTTCCGATACCACGGTAGGTTGGCGCGTCCATTTACGTCCACGTAAACAACGGCACATTCAAAGATAATTGCAGGTGAAGATACGTAACAAAATTTCTGAGGAAATTCTTTATTGGGAATTTTAATTTTTATATACAAAAATATCAACAGAAACGTGTATTATCGAATCTTACACTCTTTCACATTAATGCCGAATTTGTTACTAAAGATATGGGTATCTATTATAATGATCAACTATTTTGTGTTCAACTAATAGAAATGATAGCGGCAAGGGTCTGTAATTTCACATTTTCGTAATCCAGTCTCAGTTGGATTTAATACTGTTTCAAATTAAAAGAAAAGTTCGAATTAATTATATACAATTGCCATCCTTCACCATACAAAAGAATAAAAGGGAAGGTGAATGTGAACGGACGCGCCCTCTAGTGTACCAGACAAGGAACTATGCTAGTAAGGTGACACGGTTTTCATCTGAGTAATTACACCTTCGTTATACGAGGTCTGTTCAAAAAGTATCACGAATTTTGTGCTTTTTCAAAAATTATTTATTCATGAATATCTATTTGGCCCCCTTCAAAGTAATCCCCACCAGATATTATACACTTGTACCAACGTTTTTCCCAATTGTCGAAGTACTTCCAAAAATAATTTTTTGTGATCTTGTGTAGCTTCTCTTTCGATGCCATCTTTATCTCCTCAATCTTAGGGTAGGATCGTCCTTTCATGGGTCTCTTCAGTTTCGGGAACAAGAAAAAGGCACAAGTGGCTGCGGCATTATTAGTGTGTTGCTTTTGTCCAAAAATTCGCGAACAAGCAACGATGTGTGAGCAGAGGCGTTATCATGGTGCAAAAGCCGAGTTTTGTTCTTCCACAAATCCGGGCGTTTCTAGCAGATTGCTTCGCGCAAAATGCGCATAACTTGCAGATAATATTCCTTGTTGACCGTTCTACCCTGTGACATGATGGTCCACGCCCCTGCAGTCGAAAAACCTGTAAACAAAACCTTCACATTCGACATAACTTGCGCGCTTATTTCGGCCTTAGCTCGTGCTGCAGCTTCTGTTGGTTTCCACGTCATAACCATAAACCAATGATTCTTCATCAGTTATGACCTTCTGGAGCAAATCTGGGTCGTCGCGGACAGAGTCCAACAGCTGTTACTGTTACTACAATCTTAATGCTGTTTTTAGTCGAAATTGAGCAATTTTGGTAGGAATTTCGCGACGATCCGTTTCATGTCCAAATCATTGGTAAAAATCGAATAGCAGAAGCCAAACGGTGTGTTTAGGTTCTCAACTACTTCTCTGACGGTGATTCAACGATTGGCCAATACTATTTTCTTCACTTCGTCAATGTTTTCATCTGTTGTTGACGTGCTCGAGTGTTCATATCTTCTCGGCCTTCTGAGAACATTTTGTACCATGTATAAACGTTGCTTCGGTTCAATGTATCTTACCATATGTCACAGTCAACATTCGGAAAGCGTTCGCGTACTTAATTTTGTTTTCCACACAAAATTTGATATAGATTTTTTGATCCATTTTTTAGAATAGGCAAAAATCGAGAGACGAGCCAAAACACGTGCAAGCAAAGTAGCTGTCAAAAATTAGCTGAACATTCAACACGGTCGAACTTGAGTGAGAGACATGAGTACCAACATAACGCCACAAAAACATCGAAAATCGAATATACGTAACCCGCACGAATGTTCCGAATCCACTCATCCTTCCAATCGTATTATTCATCCTGTTTGTGGCGCCTGGTAGCCTAATTAGTCTCTCTAAGTACTACTCATTTCCAATTAAGGCACTTAACTTGAGTATTATTAACAAAAAGTTAGTTAATCAAGTAATATTAAGCTTCCAACAACCAACATTAACTAAATAACTAGTTAAAGTTGACTTTCCTTAGTAAATGCTAATAACTCAAACGGAATTTTGACATTTAACGGCAACATAATCCGTTGCATTTTTATATTATAATTATGACTATGATTTTACATACCTGAAACTGTCTGGTTCTCTCAGCAGCTTCTTCTTCTTCAGGACTACCAGGATCAATCCATATAGAGTTTAGGGTGATACCCATTGTAGCTGAAACGGAATTTTAATGACCTCTTTGTTTATATTAATTATTATTTTAATAGGTACATTTACTGAACTGATAAATAATTAGTACTTTCAATTGCAGAGTCTTTCAGCGTCTCTGAGTGCGTCTCTCACAGTCTTTCACAGTCTCTCAGTTATTGTCTAGGTGTTTTTATGGATCTCCCACAGTCTCTGTATGAGAGACGAACAATAAAATTGTTAATTCAGAGATTCAAGTCTCCCTCAGAGAGACTGAATGAATAAAACTGAAAAATTGAAAGACTCGAGTGTCTCGTAGAAAGACTGGGATCTTTGAACTTAATAAATTTTGACCATGTCTATCGAAACACTACTTATTAAGAGATTCGAGTCTCTCGTTGAGAGATTCGAGTCTCTCTCAGCGACACCTGAAAGACTCGATGAGAGACGGAGACTCGAGTCTCGCTTTTAGAGACTCTGAGAGACTGAACATTCTTATCTCGGGTAATCATAACAATAAGTAGTCCTAATAACTATGTTCATTAGGCAAATTAATTTTTGTGTTATATTATAGTTAAAGTCCTAATATAGTAGGTTAGTGGTAAATCCGGCCGGTCATTACGACTGGTAGAAGAATTCACTGAGTCAAAATGTAAATTCGGCCGCTTCGTTCAAATGTACCGAACATTAAGTATGTATATTCGGCCTGCAAAAAATTGCTGAATTTACAATTTATTTTTGTGAACTACGAAACGTTTTCGGCCGAATTTGCCAATGTAATTAACAAAAACCCATTACATAGGCCGAATTTACAATCGCTGATGTAGTAAGACAAGTTAAAAGAAGGAAGGAACACCCATTAATACTGATAAGGTGTGTCTGCTTTCATCATCATAAGGTCGCCAGTCCTAAGACTGGTTGGACACGTACCTCCACTCTCTCCTATCCTGAGCTAATCTTCGCATTTCCCTAAAGCTAGAGCAACCCATATCCTTAACTATTTGCAAGCGGTAATCTAATCTAGGTCACCAACGATTTAAACCCACGGAAGGTAATCCATTACTGATTGGTTTTTATCTACCTAGAGGTTTTGATTTTGAACTTGTCTATCCTACCTGTTTTTCATGGAAGACATTTTCGATGAAACTGAATCTTCGGGAATGTTTAATCTTAGAACCACTTGTAGGGATTAGGTTTATTAATAAATTGAATTTATACTCACCATTATTTCTGGTCCTGTATGTATCATTAAAAAGATGATAAACTGCAGCATGAGATTTTAGTAAGTTGTGAGCACAAAGGTAATCAGCTATGCCCGACATGCCTAGGGCTGGAGCGTACCCTACTTCACCATAACCTGCATTACAAGCCATGTAAGGTTCATTGAATGTAACCCAATATTTAATACGATCAGAAAAATTCTCCAAAAGAGTTCTCGCGTATTCCGTATATAATTGCACGATTAAAGGATTTGTCCAACCACCCAATTCCTGTAGACGTTGAGGAAGATCCCAATGGTATATGGTTAACATAGGTGTCATGTTTTGAGCGAGAATAGCATCAATAAGATTGTTGTAGTACGCAATTCCTTCTTGATTCGGATTGTACGGATAACCATTTGGATATATCCGGGCCCAAGATACAGAAAATCTATAAAAGTTTACTCCTAAGTCTTTAGCTAGAGCAAGGTCCTCTTCATATTTGTGGTAAGAATCACAGGCAATGTCCCCATTAGTTCTGTCATCAACGAATTCGGGAGTGTTGTGAGTTATGAAATCCCAAATGTTTTCACCTTTTCCTGGTGTTAGCAAGAAAATATTACAACATTTAATTTATTTATCTTAGAATCTATGAGTACGTTTATTTAATAAATATAAATAACTACAGCAGAATTTTCATGGGATACATATGTAAGTTATTTACCTGATTCATTCCATGCTCCTTCAACTTGATAAGAAGATGTTCCAGTACCAAACAGGAAATCAGAAGGGAAAGTGTAGTTTGAAGCACATTCTCTACTAAAATTACATCGTGTATAATGAAATAGTTTTCAATGAATTAATACACTCATTATTTCAATTACTTACTATGCAATCAAGCAAAATAAAGTAATTATCTTTGAAAACATAGCATTGTTATTAACTTCCATATTGAATGAGGGTAGCATGTACTTCAAGCGTCTTATATGCACTCATATTTAAGAAAGTTCTGATTAGATTAATTTTATCAAGTTTTTGTAATGCTTCTAGTTAGCGTGGATTCGTGTATTTCTAATAAATCAGGAATCAATTGACGTGTATTGGCGAATGAACCTTTCCACCTCTTTTGTTCTGAATTGGTTTCTAAAAATAAATAGTAGAGGGGTAGGTAATAGTCTTATTTTTAATTTTGGCTTTTATTTTAATTCATTTCTAGTAATTTTGTAATGCATTTTATAATGTATTATAGCAGGATTTTGTACATCAAGCATCATGTAGCTGTCTCTTGCAGGACCCAGACTAAAGTCATTCTATTTTTCTGTCATAAACAATAAACAATAAACTACAAACAATACATTTTTGTAATAAGGTACATAAAATCTTTTTAAAATCACAATTTCAATATTTCTTCTCGACGGTGTTGTGTCGTTGTGTTATGCTTTTTGACTTATTATTATATTAAGGTGAACCTCCCCCATATATTTTGTTCAACAGACGTTAATAAAATGGAATGTCCATAACGCTACTTTTACTTACTCAATTTTGTTTTCTTTTATAACACTTAACGGTTGTGTGTTCGAATTTCTTATCACTTTTCTCCATAGGTACATTTGGCTTCATTCGATATTTATCTCGGTAATCTTAAAGTTTTAGATGAGGAACAATGTACATGACTAATTATAAAAANATTAGCTTTTTAACTATTATTATTTATTGGATAATCTTGTGCATATAGTGATGCTGGACAATTTATTCAATAGTTATTGATTAACAGAGATTTTCACGTCTTCTATTCGAAAATAGACAACGATTAACCACTGTTCAGTAAATCAAGTGTATAATCTGCTACGTGCTTATGTTACATATTTGTATCGAAGCAACGAAATGTGGAATAAAAGGTCTAATTTTGATTACGTAATATTCACTTTATTTTATGTTATTACTTTCAATACGGTTCAAAAATGGAGAAATAAGAAAAGTAATTTTCATGTAGTCTTTTCTCACACAATGTTGTCTAGTGTAAATGGCGCGTCCTTTAACAGTTACCCAATTAAATTGCTAGAATGTTTCCAGAAATTGTTAATTGTAAACGATTTATTAAAATCATATTATTATCAGTCAATCAATTTTATTATAACTATTTAAAAATAAATGTTTGATGAAAAATAGAATGAGTAATAAGTTATTTTATTAAAGGTAATAAATATGTAAGTATATTTATCAACCAAGTGGAACAAATTTGTTGATTGCTTTATTAGAGATATTTTTACTTACCGTGAGATATGATATTCTTGATGAGATATGATACCTCTTAATCAGTGCAGCTTTTCTCGGTTATGTACACATATACATGTATAAGGATTATTGTAAGTGTCTTTAATACAATCCAGGAGTCTTTTAAATCTCTGTGGAGCAACCTCGTACAAATAAGAAACTCATAGGATATTCAACCAAATATTTACTTTCCGCGCATTGCAACAAGGTTCATATGTACCTCTCGTATTTTTCATACTTCCTTAGAAAACTGCAGAGACCTATATCACTAAATATTTTTGTTGATTTCGAGAAAGCAGTTCATACTGCAATGCAATCTGTGTTCAATAAATCAGGAACAGAAGGTTGTCGTTTTCATCTACAGGTTAAATCTGGTGTCGATAAATACAAAAAAAAAGAAAGGTCATCCTATTTTTCTATTTCTTATTCTGGATTCAAAAAGCGCGTAAAATTCAACGTTCATGGTAAGTTTTTTCGTCAAAATTAAGTTTTTCATATCCTATAGACAGATTATAAATTGAAAACAAATAATAATCACTCAAAATTCTTTTTTGCCAAAAAAAAAATTTATATTATTTAACAAGCGTATACCTGAACTGACACCACGATAGTATAATCTCATTGAATGACGAATATAGGAATTAACGTACTTACCTACATAAATACTTGACATTACCTCTAGAGTGGCTTTTTACATGATAAAATGTGATAAGACTTTATTCTGTAGAATTAGAACAAAATTTAAGGTAACTGTTGATTTTCCGTGTTCTATTTTGTTGATTTATCGCGATATTTATACATTAACTTCTCAGTTAGCAATGAAAATCAAAATCTGACAATTTACAAGCGTTTTGGTTTTAGACGTTAACAGTAACCATTGAAGTCAATATTTGATTACCCATATTATAATCTGTAAATGTCACGCAATATCTCCAACCTAAGTTTTAAATTCCTATTATTTCTAATACCTCTTCATTTCTAGTTTTCTCTATCCACGGTATCCTCATCATTCGCCTGTAACACCACATTTCGAATGCTTCTAATCTTTCCTTTTCCGCCGCGCCCACCATTTATATTTCGCATCGACAAATTATGGCCCTTACAGTACTTCTTTTGACCATTTCTATTTCTAGATACGCTATTCAGTTTGACATCGACCTAACATTTTGTCTATTTTCTGCTAACCTGTTGGAACCACAAACTTTGAATTTGTAACAAATTAGAGACAATTAGCAACAAATTGTAGTGTACTTTTAAAATAAGAAATAGAACTTTGTCGTATTAGCTATTCATATATATGAAAAGCGTTTACTTTTCTATTCGGATAAACAATTTTACTATCCAAGTTGAAGAAAATGTTTTGAAACCCATAGCACCAAAATATTTAATTTCATGATTTTTTGATGTTTTTCAACTAGCTTTAGTTCCTCACATTCATCAAGCTTTAAGCCGAGATAGTATAGGTACAACAAACGTTGTCCATCAGCATTTTATGGGTTTTGCATCGACTTTCTTCATTTATACATCAACCGATTAACCATTTGAGGCATTACACTGCAAGAATTTNATTTGTTGAAAAAATTGGATTCGAGTACAAACCTATCTAAGAAGACAAAAAGGGGGGATTTTAATTTTTACAGTTGGTTAAGCAGTTTTAAACTATCGACATTAGCCGAAATGAATGGTTAAAGCTTAAAGCGGATAGAATTTCAACATTTAACAGCAACAGAAAATCAGTAGCATTTTATAAAACTCTATGTAACTATAGTTATGATTTTACTTACTATGAATTGTCTAGTCCTTTCAGTAGCTTCTTCGTCTTCAGGGCTGCTGGGTTCATACCACATAGCACTCAAACAGATACCCATTGTGGCTTAAATGAAATTTTAAAAACCTCATTGTTTATATTATAAAGGTTAATTGTATGGATAGTTGTAATTACACAACTTTTCTTGCGTTGGATTTTGTTCTAAACTTATCTATCCGGGTATAGTCCGTTCACATAGAGAAAGGTACGCGTTGCCAGATCTATGTGTGTGGACTGACTTAATAGGCGTAACTGTCAGAAGTTATTTACGGCGCTGGAGGCTTACGGTTGGGCTTTGATCGAAAATATCTGACGTAAAACGACCAGCCATATTCCAGGGACCTCCCGTTTGTGCGCGTCGTTGTCGCTGTACCTTTCTCTCAGTGAACGGGAAATAGCTTGTCGTAACAGACTACCTAAGGTCATGTCACTAAGATTGTTAAGTAGAGGGAAGTTCATAATCAATTGTAGGAATTAGGTTTTGTAATAAATTGAATACATAGATACTCACCATTGTTTCTGCTCCTGTAAGTATTATTAAAAAGATGATAAACTGCAGCATGAGATTTTAGTACGTTGTGAGCACAAAGGTAATCAGCTCTACCTGACATGTTAAGGGCTGGAGCGTACCTCGTGCTTCCATAACCTTCATTACAGAATGTATATGGTTCATTGAATGTGATCCAATATTTAATGCGATCAGAAAAATTTTCCAAAAGAGTTCTCGCATATTCCGTAAATATATTTACCATACGTGAATTTGTCCAACCACCCAATTCTTGAAGACGTTGAGGAACGTCCCAATGGTGTATGGTTAACATGGGTGTTATGTTTTGAGCAAGAAGGGCATCAATAAGAGTGTTGTAATATGCGATTCCTTCTTGATTCGGATTGTACGGATAACCGTTTGGATATATCCGGGCCCAAGATACAGAAAATCTGTAAAAGTTTACTCCTAGGTTTTTAAGGAGAGCAATGTCCTCTTCATATTTGTGATAAGAATCGCAGGCAATGTCCCCATTACTTCTGTCATCAATGAATTCTGGAGTATTATGGGTTACGAAGTCCCATAAATTTTCACCTTTTCCTGGCGACAAGAACATAGCATATATCATTACAGCATTTTAAATTGACGTAATATATTAACATATTTTTCTTAGAAGCTATAGGCAGATTCTTTTGATGTATGTTTAACTATAAAACTGAGCAGTATTATCTTGGGATACATATCAATTATTACCTGATTCATTCCAAGCTCCTTCAATTTGATAGGAAGATGTTCCAGTACCAAACAGAAAATAAGAAGGGAAGGTGTAGTTTGAAGCACATTCTCTACTAAAATTAAAAGGTGTTCATAAAAAAGTAGTTTTCACTGAATTAATTTAGTTATCGAACTGATGTGATATCTAAAGGTCGTCGTCGGTTGGAGTTACTTCCTAACGTTTCGCTATAAGGAGTAGCTCTTCTTCAAAAGTCGTTTCATTTCCCATGCTGGATGTATCCAACTCCAATCAACGACTGCCATTAGACCCGAATCAGGACAGCAGCAATTCCCCAACTGACTGCGAAAGCCTTTACTAAATTCAGTTATTATTTGGATTACTTACTATGCTATTAAACAAATTAAAATAGTTATCCCTAGGAACACCGCATTTTTATTAGCTCCCATTCTGAATGATACTGAAGGATAATATACATTTTGGGGAGCTTATATGTACTCAAAAATCAAGATACTTCTGATTAGATATATAGAGTTTTATCAATCTATTATCTTGTTTTTAGTTGACACAGATTCGTGCATTTCTGAGATTTAATTAAATTTAAGACAATGGGACTGTAACAGATTAGTGCAATATATTAAAATGCGAGTTCTTATGAAGATAATAGATAAGGGATTGTATTGGTTACTGATGTATCACTAGTTCAAAATCTTATGAGCATACCATGTACGGGAATTGTCATATTAATTATTTATAATAAATATACTTGTTATAAAAAACAAGTTATATCATTGAATGCCAATCGCCTTGTCTTCATGTCTCTAAAATCCTATCGAAATTGATTCAACTGTTTCGAAGATTAGCCTAAAATTAATTAAACAGATAGTGAAGCAGATTGGCAGACAGATAGGCAGACAGAGATAAATTCGCCTAAATTACTTCTGATAATCTCCTTTTTACGTCTGAAAACTTCTATCGAAATCGGTTCTGTTGTTTCGACAGATATACAAACGAAGACATTTTTTTGCTCGTCACACATCAAACGAGGGATGGTGGAATGGAATGGAAGCGGTTAAGTCGCCATTTGTTTTTCAATTTTTCCCCCTCTACTTATCTCGAAATGGGCCCAAGTTTCGCCTATATCATATAAGAAAACATATTCTACTATAAATTAATTAAAGAGCTAATGTAGCAGGTGACAGAAAGTTGGGACATGTGCTTTTTGCACTTCAGCTCCCTGATTGTAATTCACTTGTAGCTAACCTTCAAGGCGTTTTTATGGTGATAAGTGCTTTTCAAGGGAGTCAGACAGGGGTGCACACTGTCACCGCTACTTTTTAATCTATACATCGAAGACGCGATCAACATCATTAAAGACAGTACAGCTGTAGGGATAGGTATACAGGGGCAAAAGATTAGTATGCTTAGATTTGCAGATGATATAGCAGTATTAGCATCTAGCAAGGTGAACCTAGAGATAGCTTTAAATAAAATGGAAGCGGTATTGACAGATCAGTACTGTATGAAAATAAATAAAGGTAAAACTAAAATACTGGTATGCGTATGCAAGGGACGAAAAAGTAGGGAAAGAGCGAATATAAATATAGGAGACGAATAATTAGAAGAAGTGGCTGATTTTAGATATCTAGGAAGTCAGATAAGTCAGGACGGAAGAAGTAGTTAGGGATATAAACCAGAGGATAGCGCATGGTCGTGTCGCCTTTAATAAAAAGACTCTTCTATGCTCGCGAATGGTTGGTTTGGAGGTTTGAAAAAGGTTGTTAAAGGTGTATGTTTGGAGCGCGGCGTTGTACGGGTGCGAAGCATGTACAGTGGGCGCGGCAGAAAAGAAAAGGTTAGAAGCCTTCGAAATGTGGTGTTATAGGCGAATGATGAGGATAACGTGGGTAGAAAAGGTTAGAAATGAAGAGATATCAGAAAGAATAGGAGAACAGAGGACTCTATGGAAGTCAATAAAAAATACGCAAGATAGGTTGGTAGGACACCTTCTCAGGCATGAAGGTCTAGTCAGAGACATATTAGAGGCAGAAACAGGAGTTAGGAGGGGTAGAGGTAGACTTAGGTTTTTAGGGAAATGTGAAGATTAGCTCAGGATAGGAAAGAGTGGAGGTGCGTGCCCAACCAGTCTTAGGACTGACGGCCTTATGATGATGAAGTGCTTTTCAACATAATCACTGTTGATATGTTTAAAATTATTGATGCAGCTGGAAAATTATACATTTTTATCGTTTACCAACAATTCCGATTACTAGTAACGGAGTGAAATGCAAAGTTTTTTTTTGCGAATTTTGGTGTAGGTAACTGCATACAATTATTTAACAGTAACATAGGAACATCGCTGAATTGGTGTTATTGGATTTCGGTATGACTTACTGTTTTTTAAATCACTTTCAAAATGTTTCTTCTAAATTTTAAAAAATATTTCTCATAGAAAAGCCGAAATTGCTAGAATATGTGGAATTTTGCAGTGGAGAGGGCTCCAGCTCCTTATCCATGGCTGCGTGCCTGTTCAATAAGTACCTAAGTACGCATGTACAGCAGGTAAAATCGTCAAAGGTACAGTGCTAGATGCGCATGTCTAAAAATGAGTTTAAAAGTTACAAGGTTGTCCCTTGTAATTTTGTATTATGTGAAGTTTTATCAGTAAACACGTTACAAAGGTTTATCAGGAGAAAAATTTTAAAACGACAAGTTTGAAGGACGCGCTAACAGCAGGCACGTATAGGAGGAACTCACTTATAAAAATAAAAAAAGTTCACGCCAAGTTCAAAAGAACACTCCAAAAGTAACACACTCACGGTTGTTTTTACATTAGAAGAGTATCACGAAATGGACTACACATTATATCTATGCAATTGCATTTTTTTTAGTGCTGTTAAAAATTCATAAGAGTCGAGAAGAACGTTATTTATTTAGGCAAATTAGTAGCCGAAAAGTTTTGCTAGTGACATTAAGAAGGGCTGAACAAATTTTCTAGTACAGCTATTTATTTAAACAGTAATCCTACAGGTACCTACATTTAAAAAAAAAGCTTCTTTTTTCTATTGTTGCACACTTTATGTTGCAGTTTAAATTAAGATGCTGTAGACAATCTTGTATTTAAATATGGGACAAGTTGTATTTGAAAAACATATCAGTTTGATACCAATGAGCATGTTGCTTACTTTTTAGTCTTTTTGTTCGCGCACTATTTATATCAACACTAATTATATATATTGTCCGTGTCTCTGTCAGATATCTGGCTGCTTATTTACACAGTATGGAACTTTTCTCCAAAATTTCCCATAAGTTCCTTTCGTCGTACCAGTTTTCACTGCAGTATAATCTGCTTCTGCCAGTTTTCGGTGTATCAAACGTGCCGCCGCGCCGATATCGATTACCTGCAGCATTATTAAAGTACATTTTTGTTGTTTACACCCATACTAACTATTTTTGTATATGGATCACTACAGCTGTTTTAAACAATCCATCTTTACAAACTTTTCCAAAGATTTAATTATTAGATAAATAAATTTCTACTTATACCAATGTTGTCGCTTGTATAGATGATAGTTTTAAACCCACCTAGCAATTAAGCAGAAATATTTTCATAAATAAATTAATACTGGCATTAGTTAATCTATTGAATACAATCTACGATAATAATAATAATTCTAAATGTCGGTTTTGTTTTAATAGCACACAAATAACCGTATGGACAAAAAAAATGCAATTATTTCGATAAAATTCAGACAAACACTTCAATTTTATTTCTACGTAAAGATTATATAGATGTATTTTAAAATTAAAACTTGAGGTAATAAGGAGGTAATGTTAAAAAACTCATGTGATTAAAGCAATTAATATATTGATAAAACATAATACAGGCGCAATTAAAACAAAAGTAAAATACAACAGCAAGTGTTCTAGAATAATTGCTTTTAAAGTATAAAGCTATTATGAAAAAATATCTCATTCTATTTAAAAGTACCGACGAAAAAAATTCTCAATCTGATCTTTACTTTTAGCACTTTCTAGGAAAATTACTTATAACGAGCATTAGCACAAATACTTTACCGAACTGTAAATAACTTCCTTCATTAATAAAATAACTAACCGCAATGTAAGATTAATTAAGATCAAAGAAAGTAATTAATGTAACCTAAAAAATCGTTCTGCAACGGAAGACAGCCGAAGGCAGTAGCGTGAAAAATCCTAACATTAAACATTAAATTGCCCATATTCACTCCAATCGGAATTTGTCCTCCTTACTGAAACTTAATTGACTTAAATCGGAAAACCTGTCTCTATGATTCACCCCTCCAGTTACTTCATTTTTCGTAACGATGGGTATTTTAATCTATGTAAAACGCCAACTGATTCACATTGATATCTTGACAGTATCTGCTCTTGGAACTGTTACGCCGATGATACTAAACTTCATGGAAATCCTGATATGGCTTATCAGGATTTACTGCGGGGATTCTACGCCTAAAAGCGACCAAATGTGAGGTACCTCATCCGGGGAAGAAGAACTGTGGCAGACAATACGTCTTACAAGGCTGCGCGTTACAACTCACCGGTTCTCTAGTGGACCTCGGGGTTATCATTACGCAGGTCTTAAAATGGACCCCACATCAGCAATGTACTTTTTTCGTAAAGTTTTCTCATAGCTGAACAAACCGACCGTATTATTTATTACGTCAGATCCATCGCTGAATGTGAGAACTGCGTCTGGTTTTCTCAACTCCTAAATGACATTAATACCCAGGAGGCAATACAACGGCGCACAACCAGGATGGTACATGACCTCAAACATTTAGACATGTACTGCATTTGAGCTGTCTATTCTCCATCGTTCTGCGTTTCATTGCGAACATAGTAGAAAACTTTAAAGTCATCAAAGATCTTTATGATCTTCATTTGTTAAATTCTTGACTTAATCTATAGGGTTGTTCGGAAAGTCATTTCGTTTTTTTTTTATGGAAATGAAAGACAGTTTTCGTATAATAAACAAATACTTTATTAAATTATATATTGACCGTTCTGGTCCAACACCTTTTGCCATCTTTCTGGTAGTAGCATAATTCCACGCTCATAAAATTTTTGGTCTTTGCTGGCAAAAAACTGATCGAGGAGGTTTTTGACNTATTTGTCTTATTGTAAAAGCTAAATTGTATTCTAAAATATGAACATGAAGCTGATGAACACTATGTATTTGGACTGGGCCAGAATATAGTGATAAGGTAGGATAGAACTGTAGGTACTTTTAATTTTGCTATTTGCGCTTTTTTGTGATGGTAGGGAAGCTGTAACTCATTTTTATTTTCTGATACCTTTATTTCAGCAAATGAAAAATTTCATGTTGCCAAAAATACTGACAAACGATTCTAAATAATTTAATTTTAATAATTTACATAAAAAACTTTCACATGAAACAAAAAGTGAAATGAAATATCTTAACTCACTTAAGATCCTCTCATTCCTGCTTATATATACTATACTAATTCCTGTATATTTGTAATTATGATATTTTTTAAATTAAACAAAGAAATTCTAATCAAAGAATCAACGCACTCACAGGTTGGAGGGTCTATATTTGTGTAAAGAGCCAACACCTTAAGTGTCTAGATTTTTTGCTTAGTCAATTCTAAACTAAGGGAAAGAGATAGAAAATATGTCTAACCTCAATTAAACTGTTGGGATCATTCGCTACCGAATCACCAGTAGACGATAGGCTGACCTGATAATCATTGTAGTAAGATGTTTCCAGACTACTGCTTGGAGCATCACTAGCTAAATACGTACTATAGTGATTTAAACCCATAAAATCATAAGTTCCTTTTATGTAGTTTATTTCATCTTCGGTAAACTGTGGAAGCCTCGATTGTTTATAACCTTCTAAAGAGCTATGATAAGCAACATATTCCTTTACAACATCAGGATAATCCCCTTTAGATGAAAAAACTGGATGAAGGTACATACCATACTGAAAATATAGCATCATTTGAACACTTCTACATACTTCGTAGTATGTTTGTGTTATGTTATGTTGATTAATGTTTGTTCATTACCCAAAATTGCCTTATCCTTTCTGCAGCTGCCTCTTCATTTGTGTTATTTGCCTCAAGCCATTCAGCACTTATTGAGATACCAATTTTACCTAAATTACAGAAAAGAAATTAAACAAATTGTTTGCAAGCATTTGATTATTTGACAAACCTTTGTATTTTGGTTTGTATGTCGTATTGTAGAGACGATAAACAGCTGCATGAGCTTTCAGTAGATTATGTCCATTTACGTTCAAGTTAAGTCAAACTATATAAGTTCTAATCGATACATAAAAGCATGTAGAAAAGAAATTAAGTAAGTAGGGTATTTCAAATTGTTTTTGTGGTTGCTTCGATTACCATTCCCTTCTTATTTGATTCACAATGGGAAAAACCTTCAGATACCACCAAGAGCAGGGCTTCTGACACAGAGATCCCAGGAGGAAACAATAAAACACATTTTATCCTGCCCATATGTATGTATACAATACAAACTAGGGTACATTACATAAGTAAACGTTGAAGATATAATATAAGAATGCACATTAGTTAAAAAATAAAATATTTTGTTTCCTATTGTCAAGTCAATAAATTTAGTGTTACTTTAATCGTCTTGTAAGTAATTGGTTGAATGACAAATAAATAAAATATAAGTGTATTTATCTTGACGAAAGCTGACATCTAGAAGCATATTGTAATATACAGATATTATTTGAGCCTTATGAAGGAGGTAATCATCTTTAATCAATTTTGTCGTAACTCACTACTGTTCTATTTCCAAATACGTTTCTAATGAAATGTGCTGACGATTTTGGAATTCTAGGCCGGTCAGGATCAGAAAAATTTACATAAAAAATTCCATACTTAGACCTGAAAGAACACAAAAGAAGAAGTACATTGTGAGGTTTTACTACAACGAAACAGTATATATAAATAATAAACAAGCAAATTTTTGTTTAACTTTAACTTTTAGGTTAATTTTGTTTACTGAACTATTGTTTATATTCCTTACGTATATCCTAAATTCCATTCATAATTATCCATTAAACTCCAAGTCGTGTAGGCAATAACATTGACATTATCAATATAAATGGCTTCCAAGAGAGCTTCAAGATATTGCTACAAAATTAGTTTACAGTGAGTAGGTATGCCATGAATCTGGTATCTATAATTATTTCAACCTTTTTGATGCATGTGGTGACGGTAAAATACTTACGCCATAATATGAAATTCTCCTTTTGTCGTCAATCACGTCATCCAAATCATAAATTCCATTTTCTGTCACAAAGATGTCCGGATCATCATACGTATCTTTTAACCATACCAACAATTTTCTAAAACCCCACGGAACAATCTAAAACAGTAAATGGATTTATTTCACATTTTTCTTCCTTATTTTAAATTGTTACAGCGTGTTTATTAATCACATATTCACACTTCTAAATTTTTAGTACATCCCATTCGGAACAAGAAATATTTTAAAAAGATTCTTTGGAACGTTCTGTTGTCAATTATTTTTACATTTTCATTTTTTCATAACTATTTGATGAAAAATGAAATAAAAACAGCTTTATAACAGCGGATGCTACACCATCACAAAAAGCGTTTCTCTAGACAAAATAGAAAAAGATATTTTGATATCCCAAGGACCGAAAAAGTTGGTTTAACGGTTTTTTACTATTTTTGAATTAGCTACAAATAATCCCCTTTATCATCGAAACTTAAGCCAGGCTAATAGGTACAACTAAATAGGTACAAGGATTTTTGCCTTTTCAATGCGCATTGCAGTGGCCTTCTTTAAGAATATACAACTACTTAGGATATAATGCCGAAAGATGAAAAATGGATCGAATAATACAAAAAAACACAACAATCACATGTAGATACATGTATTCGGACTGGACCAGAATATAGTGTCAAGGTAAGGTAGAAATGTAAGGGCTTTCAATAGTACTACTTAACCTATTCCCTTTTTTTGTGATGGTGTTGGAGCTGTAATTCATTTTTATTTTCTGACACCTTTATTTCAGCAAATGAAAAATTTCACGGTGCCAAAAAAAATGACAAACGATTGTAAACAGTTGAAGGGGTTATCGCACAAAATTCGTTTACGCATTTTAAGTGCCTAGGTATTTTCCTTAGTCATATCCAAACTAAGGGAAAGAAATGGACAGTAAAAGAAATGTTAATGCTATGCAAGTATTGTGTATGATATCTAACCTCAAGTAAACCGTTGGAATCATTCGCTATCGAACCGCTAGCAGACGATAGGCTGACCTGATAATCATTGTAGTAAGATGTTTCCAGACTAATGTTTGGAGCTTCGCTAGCCATATACGTACTATAGTGATTTAAACCCATAAAATCATAAGTTCCTTTTATGTAGTTTATTTCATCCGGAGTAAACTGTGGAAGCCTCGATTGTTTATAACCTTCTAAAGAACTATGATAAGCAATATATTCTTTTACAACATCAGGATAATCCCCTTTAGATGAAAAAACTGGTTGAATGTACATACCATACTGAAAATATAGCATTGTTTAAACACTTCTACATACTTCGTATTATGTTTGTCTTATGTTATGTTGGTTAATGTTTGTTCATTACCCAAAATTGCCGTATTCTTTCTGCAGCTACCTCATCATCCGTAGTATTTGGTTCAAACCAGTCAGCACTTATTGAGATACCAATTTTACCTAAATTACAGAAACCAAATGAAATAAATTGGTGCAGTCTTCTTTTGACGTGCATTTAATTATTTGACAAACCTTTAAATTTTGGTCTGTATGTCGTATTGTATAAATGATAAACCGCTGCATGAGCTTTCAGTAGATTATGTCCACAGAGATAGTCCGCAATCCCTGAGATTCCTAGTGCAGGAGCCAACATTAAATCTCCATACGCAAACACACAAGTTTGAAAAGGTTCATTAAAAGTTAACCAATATTGAACTCGATCGCCAAAATGTTCAAAAGCCGTTCTTGCGTATTCAGTATAGAAGGTGACAAACCTAGGATTGAGCATTCCTCCTACCGCCATAAGGCCTTGTGGAAGATCCCAATGAAACAGAGTAACCATAGCCGTAATATTATTAGCTACAAGTAAATTTAGGATCTTGTTGTAGTGATTGATGCCTTCGTAATTAATATCGTCTGGAAATCCACTTGGGAAGATTCTTGTCCACGATAAAGAAAATCTATAAAAATCTACTCCTAAATATTTAAGAAGTTGGATATCCTCTTCGTATTTGTGATAAGAATCGCATGCTATGTCACCATTGCTTCCGTCAATGATCATTTCTGGATGGGTATGAGTATGCCTATCCCAGGTGCTTTCACCCTTCCCTTAAAAATATGAAATGTTCTAAACTATGGTGAATTAAATCAAAAGAAAGACTTTTCATCACAGTTTGTATTAATATCTAAACACCGTAAGCCTCGAGGTGCCGTTGACTTGATGCCTTGTAAAAATTAAAATTTCTTACCACTTTCGTTCCATGCCCCTTCAATTTGGTATGCTGATGTTGCAGAGCCAAACAAGAAATTGTCGGGAAACCTATAGCTAGTTGCCCAGCACCCTCTTAAATAATATACATAATTAGTCCCCTCTATTGTACGCAATGATAGTAACTTGTTACCTGTCAAAAACCGCAAAAAGGGCAAATATGGTAATGACTCCGAACATGTTGAACAGTAACATTCATCTACTACAGTTTGTTGAATTTTAGAAATATATAGCCCAATCCCTAATCGATTAGATAAATTACACGTACATTAAAAAATGATAAGGTATTTATTGCATTGTTTGATATTTTCTGGAAATGTGCAATTTTTTATTTTTTATTTATTACAACAAAAAAGTATTAGTAGCTATAAGTCAACATATTTTATTATTCGTACAAATACATGGATATACCTAAGTAAATGTTATAAAAATAGGTACATATTCGAAACCGATTGTAATGTCACCTTTAGATTTAAATACAATTTCGAAACAAGGTTACTTTTAGAAATTTACTGCAAATTATGCATTGTTCAATAAACAACATTGGGTTTGTAGTCAGTAATTTTGCGATCGTATTTGATCTCATCCGCACGTCATAATGAATAGATAATTACATAATCAGTATAAAAAAAATATCGAAACCGTCATGATCTCCTTCATATATTGGCAGCGAACACAGCATCTAACCGAGAGGTACTATTCCAATTAGTACAGCCTAGAGGGGGTAGAGGAAACGGGGGGTAGTTGATCATAGCGGTAGGCTGACTACTAGAAAACATTTTCCTTTCTCGTTTAGTCACCGGAATCGCGATATCGCTTATGTCCTTACGTCAATGGGGAGAAGGAACATATAATCTAAAAATAATAAACGTAAGTGTAATGTCCCATCTTGATTTAGACGGACTACGCGCCTAATTAAATTTGCGTAGTTAGTTAGATGAAATAATAAGAACACAAACNAGAAAGTTAACTCATCACGAAATAATTGTTTCTAAAGTGTAAAGCCATTATGAAAAAACGTCCCATTCTATAATCACTTTTTAAGAAAATCAATCTACCAAACGAACTTACCTACCTGAAGTGAAGTTCGATTGTGATTATAGGAGATCCAGTCCTAATATTACTTTATTTACCACGTAGATGTTTAAAGAATTAAGGAACGAGCAATCTTAAAATTCGACGAAGGGAAAAAAGAATAATAATCCAAACAGTCTGTATTGGAGAAAAATGAGAATTTCAGTAACATAATCATAATTCTAAGATTAACGAATGTTTAAATTATTAAATTAACTCAACAAGGGGAAACTAGAAAGCCCCAAGCCAATCCTCTGAAGAGCTTATGTCAAAAATCGCACAAGCAAAGATGGCATTTGATTGGACCGGTCGGTTGTAAAATTTTGTAAAGGTTGAACTTTGAGACCATCCTGCCGTTTTGCAAATTAAATTAATTGAAAAGCCTTTCCGAGATGCCTCCGAAGTTGAAGCGGGTCTGATCGAATGTGGTTTGAATAATGTTGTATCGATGTTTGCGGAACTAAGTACTTGTTTTACTCATCGACTTATAGTAGCCTTAGATGTCCCTGTGTGGGGTTTTTATGACAGATAAAAGGAAAATCGCATTCCACATTCCTTAGGGATCCAGTTCTATCAATGTACTCCCTTAAACAATTGACTACGCATAAGGAAGGGTTGGTCTTAAATTTAGGGATCCTAAGCATATGTTGGGATCTTCCAACGCGACTTGTTTTGACTGGGTCCGAGATGAAGATGACACTTTCTTTTCAGTTATGTCGAATATTCGATAAGCGAACAAGGGAGATTGTTTGCAACCTTTCTGCTGTTTTTAGCGCTAGAAGGGTTGCCGGCTTGCCTGACAGTGTTTGGAGACTAAGAGGTAGAGTTACTTCTTCAATGTAGTGCTAATCCCTGGGATCTGAAAATGGTGAAGATAGTAAGTTAAGTGAAGACTCAAAATAAATTTCTGTCCCAACAATAAGTCGATTAAAGAGTGGGTACCATGGCTGAGAAGGCCAGCATGGTACTACCAAGAGTCCTTCCGCCCTGTCCTGTATAATTTTTTGGAGGGTTCACAGAATCATTTCGAACGGTGGAAAAGCGTAAAAATAATGTTCGCTCCACGAAATAGTGAAAGCATCAATTTTGATAGCCTTGGGATCCCTGTACTAAGGCACATAATTTTTACATTTCGCATTAATTTGTGTGGCAAAAAGGTCAATCTCCGGTGTACCAAAATTGCTTACTAAATGGTCGAAAGCTTTTTGAGACAGGGACCATTCTGTGTCTGTGTTACGACGTCGTGATTCTTGGTCAGCTATAGTGTTATCCCTCGAGTTAATGTAGAAAACAAACAATTAGAGGTTTCTTTGTTCGCATGACTGCCAGATTAATTTGGATAAAGAATTTGAGTGGGGAAATTAAATGCTGCCCATTTTGTTTATGGACGATATGGCAGTGGTGTTGTTGCAACACAGTAAGATGTTACAATCTTCCGAAAAACGAGCAAAGCACTGAATTGCATTGAAACCGGATTGTATAATGATATTGCGTCTGTTGTTCTGACCAGAATCCATGAGTGCAAACATGACTACAACAGGCTTCCATCCGGTGAGAGATGCGTCAGAAAAATTTTCTAAATGAAATTGTCCTTTTCGCATATCACTTGAGATGTAGCTTAACATGCTCTGGGATGGACATTATTGCACCAAAGTTCATGTTATTGTTGCGAAGTTCTCAAAATTTTGCTCTTTCTAGAGACATGCAATAAAAAAGACCGTACTCCTAGGGGACACGCTTCAACTAAAGTACCTATGAATTTTGCATATCTGTCGAAGTAGATAAGAGGACGATAAATTCAACATAGAGACAACATTGGTCTCAAAGCCGTGCCGAGGTCCTTTATTTTAAAAGGTGGATAATGGATAAACGCGTTGTCTTTTGTAAATTTGAGATAAATCTTTTTCTTCCATTTAGATTCTTAGCTTAGAAAATAGGAGATAGGTACGAATTGATGAGAGTCTGGTTTCGAATTTATTACGGCTCCTAAATTTAATAAATTATGTCCTGTGGATTTAATTAGAGAAATCTCTGAACGAAAAAAAGGTTTCGTTGGGGCACGCAATTGCGAAGGGGGCAAATATTCAAAAGGAATGGTATATCCCCTGATCCAGGACAGGACTGTCGGGTTAAGAGTGATTTCTGGCCACTAATACACGTAAAAATTTAATCATCCCGTAAAGGTCACTGAACCGACCTGTAGTGTTTTCTGGATGAGTGGCGTTTGTTCTGTGAGTTCTGTTTGAGAAAAAACTTAACTTTTGGGTGTTTCATTCCTACCAGCCAGTAATGCTGGTGGGCGGGCAGTCCCTCCGGACTATGCCGGAAGGTAGGGCGGAAGGCCCTCTTCAGCCTGCTTTCAGGAATC